TAACATTTAAAATACAAACATATAACTTTTAACTATTCAGTGCCTTACTAAAGGGATCAAAATAATAGAACAAGACTAACTTGGTTTACATTGTGAAAGAAACCGACAAAAAACTCAACGTAAAATTTAAGAATTGTCAACAATACATTTAAAGCACAGATAATACATCATATTTAAATAAATAGGTAGTTTTTTCACAAAAGAGAGGAAGGCAGAAGTCTTACTCGACAAATTTTGTTAAGTTGCACAGCTAAATCGCACACGTTATTTGTGTTTTACGCTGCAAGGAAAAAAAAAATTAGTACTCGATTTTGTTTGATTATTCCTTATATCATTGATTAAGAAACAACGCTTAAATGCTTATATAGTTATGTTAGTGTGTGTATTTTATCTAAGGGATCATGGTGAATTATTGTGTTTTTAATTGTAAATAAAATTCAAGAACTAAATCGTTGCATTTTTATGTTTTACCAAAGCATCCAATTCGGTAAGTACATTTGTTGGGCAGAATTAACTAATGATAACTTTACCTAATATAATTTATATTTAAGTTTGGACATTTTTAAGAAATTAGTAAAAAATAATTTTTGCACAAATATAACCTTAAAAACAACCATTTTTGTATTTGAGTTCTCTAAAAAACGCCGACAACTGCATAACAAACAACAAAATATACCTATGGATTCATGGCAACATAATATTATATATAATACATAATATAATGGTATTTTACCGTTTTACCGAGTGGAGACTTTCTTAATCAACGCTTTTAATAATGCTAAATGCTGTTTAAATTTAGACGACTTATTTGTTTGGCGATTTTTACTGAATTGAAATAATTAAACTTTTCACGTTAATCACTAGTAAAATGTGTATTTATTGTATCTTATAGGTACAATAATTGTACCTATAAGATATATTTACAGAGACTGTATGCAATTTATTTCTTCATTCAGATTAACACTGTTTATTGGAAAACCGGTAAAAACTCAACCCAGGATTTCCTCTCGAAATACACCCAACCACACAACAAATCAAGCCACGGTTTTTTTCTGATATTTTTTTTAACATTTTCCGGCTTTATTCTCAAAAACACTCGTTTGTAATATAAGCGTTTTGACAGCTGATTATTAAAAGTTATACTTTTGTTACGATTATAACAGCCGAGTGGTGGCGCTACTAGCGATACTTCTTTATATGTTATGTTATATACCAAATTTACCAAATAAATACGCACAAATAATATTTATAAAATATGTTTTATAGTTCTGACACTTCACCACCAAACATGAAAGCCATCTAAATTTTAAATTATAAATAAAACTAATATAAAAATAACAAAACAAGACTAACTGGAATGAAAAGATGAAGGTGGGGACTACATTTTCTGAAAGTTTCAGATTTTTATTTTTTCCTCAACATAATGATTTCTAAGGGCAAAATTGGCTAATTTTGAGAATTATCATGTTTCAATAATTTTTATAATAAAGAAAATGATAGTTTAGAAACCTAAAATAATCGTTACGTTTTCTATTGTAGTACTTGATACCTGAAAAAGTGAACTATTACTCCTAATTCTTCAATAATAAGAGAATATTGCAAAACTTGGTAATTTAGTCCAGGTTACTTTACGATTTTAAACTTAACATAGGAATTTGCACAAGGCTTTTTAGTGTGGACTTTTGGCAAGTTCTAACCAACCCACTGTGGGCCCAATGCCCAAACTAGGTTGCATTAATTCAATTTTTTTACTTAAAACTTTAAAAATAATTAAACTTTGAGACTAACCAATGCTGGTAATTAATTATATAATTTATTTTTTCATTTTCCAGTGTTGCACATTAGGATTTTTGGAAATTAATTTATTAAATACATGGTTATTTCAACTAGTGTAACAAACCATGCCAACGTGATCTACGGATCAAAATAAGTCGATTTAACCCAACTTACTGCTAACTACTGCTTACTAAGTTGCTTCGTTTGGCGGCTAGAGACCTTTAAAATTCACGTTGACAAGGGTTGTTATACTAGTTGTAGATCGCTTTGTATATTACGAACATGTTCGAACAGTTTTATTTAGGACGTAGCTTCTGAAGTAACAAATAAATTTTACTAAGAAGGGTAATAACTTAAATGTATTTATATGAACATATGTAGTATATGGGGAAAAATTTGCCAAGTGTACTAGGTGAAAAAAATTTTGTCATCGATTTTGTTTAAACTTTACTTATTTGTTGTTCTTATAACGAAGAATCATAGCATAACATTTTTTTGCTCTAGGATTGTTCATTCAAGAGTTATGGATTATTGAAATTTATCGATTTTTTACTTTTTGGTGAAACTTCTGTTTATCTCTTTATTAAATATTTCAATTTAACCACCTTAAATGATTTTTTCCGTACTTTGCAATGGCCTAAACCGTTTTTGCAAAAAAAAATTGCAATTTTTTTTGAAATTTTGCAAAATTTAACATTTTTTGAAACAATGTGTATTTTTTAATTTTTTTTAAATAGCATAAAATCAAAGTTTATTATGTTACCTTTGAATAAAAAAAAAATTTAGAGTGGGCCCGACATGTAGAAGGGAAGTTTTTCATATTTGTATGCGTGCGGGTCTAGCCATCGAATAGCTACTACACTGCCGTATGCGTTTATACCTAGTAGATGCGAGTAAACGAATACAAAATGACAATTTAAAATGTAAAATTATTTTTGAGTAGTCAATGATGTATTTTAAATATATACACTGCCGCACGATATAGTTTTTAACTGTATTTTTTCGCATAACCGTAACGGCTTGCCTATAAGCTGAATAGGTCAATGGCTTTAATAATATATAATGTCCATAAACGGTTTATGCTGTCATGACGAGCTCCAAACATTCGCAGTACGGACATTACTTACTTTTTAAACCGTAACGGTCAGTCAGAATATTTGTGTTGCCAATCGGCAGATTAAAATATGATTTGTAGATTTCGTAATTCGGAGGATTTTGGCGGATATTACTAGAATTTTGTTAATTTTTATTTTTGTGGCTAAAGTAAAATACAGAAAGAATAAAGTGTTGGTGTTGTTTTTCTTTAATTTTTCGCCCTACCATACTTTTAAATTAAAATAAAATCTTATGGTAATAACGACTTTTTGCTCAGTTGTATGGCTAAGAAGTATTTTTACTTATTGTTCACATCTCGTAGGCAAATCCGATTTTTCGATTTATTATACAGTTGACAGCGGCCGGAGCCGGAGGTCGTGGGTTCGAATCCCACCAGGGGTATGGTTGTTTATTTGTGTTTGTCCTATTGTGTAATAGTCCTTCGGAGGGAACTTTAAGCCCGCGGTCCGTTCCTACTCCTAACCCGCTCAAGCCATTCAGTTGGCTTCTGGGACTTCTTAGGAAGTAAGGGTGGAAGTAAAAGAGCACTTTTGTATATTTCTTTTTTTTGTAATTGATGTATTTAGAAACTTATATCTTTCTTTAATAAAATTTAAAAAGTGATTGTTTATTTTGTCCAAATCAAGCGCCGAATGAAAATTTACAAAAACAGAAAAAAGTTTCTAAATCTAAAAATAAGTCGAAGGATACCTTTTTATTAAATTAATTTTGACCCCCTGGCGGCTACGGTTTTGAGAAATTGCAAATTTTTTGCCTAAAATCGTAAATATCTTTGTTAATATTAATTTTTAAATAAATTGTTAAAGGGAAAAGGCTTAAAATTGAGCAAGGAATACACCATTTAAATTAATTTCGCGTTTTATGGAAAAAAAGGTTTATGTTTATGCTGCAGCAAAAATTTTGACACCGTCAGCATTTAAATGTTTACTGGCGAAAAACTGTTTTAATGTAAATAGTGCAGCAAATTTTTACAGGCAGCACCCATATAGCGCCATTATAGTTAATCCCTTTAAACTTTTTAGACATGTCAAGACAAAATTGTAATATCGATTTAACATAATATTATCAACATGTTCAACTTTTTTTAGAATATAGGTATCCATGTAAATCTAAAAAAAATATTTTGAATAAGACACCGCTTATCCCTTACAGACATTCCACTATTTATTTGTATAATATACCTAGGTCATAGAGAAACAAACACAAGAGAGTGCCCGATTGCCTTATAGAAGTGGGGAACATCATTAGGGTGGCGACTCCAGTGGCTACCGGAAAAACTAGCTTGAAGCGCGGCACATTCAAATTTAAATATCTATAATGATTGTTTTGTTGTCAGTGTGACTTATCCTTACTTTTTACTTGTCTGTTTTTTATATTGACGCTATTATTGTCTTTGGATGCTGTGCTTGGTATTTGCTTGCCTTTAATGACAATTGAAATACATTTCCACGTGCAGACTTATTAATTAGTTTACTTGAGGTGTTTAATCATGTAATGATACTTTGCAATTGGAAACTGCATGGGACACTTTGGAGAGGTAAAAATAATTTCTTTACAAATAAAATTGTTTTAGAAACCGCACTACTGTATTTGTTGTGAAAAAAATTCAAGTCTGTTCCAATTATGAGATTTTTTACCCAATCTGAAGAAAAATCATCATTCAGTTATACTGAAAACGTTGATCAATCGTTCAAGCAATTAATTAAACAATCAATTAAATGTTGTTTCAATCAATGTTATGCAACATCTTTAATAAATGCTGATATCAAGAAAATTGTTCCTGACTCGCTGTAATAATGTAAATATCTTGGTTGTTGTTTTATATAATAGTATGTTATATATTTGTTTAACTATGTGTTAATGTTAATTAAAATTATGTTTTAATGTTGGAAGTTGCTTTATTTCCATATAAATTTTATTATTATTATTTTTAATAGAAATCATGATAGATACTTAAATTTGAATAAACCGCGCTTCAAGCTAGTTTTTCCGGTAGCCACTAGAGTCGCCACCGTAATGATGTTCCCTACTTCTATTAGGCAATCGGGCACTCTCTTGTGTTTGTTTCTCTATGACCTAGGTCATTAATAGATTCGGTAATGTTTAAGGTTGATTACAAACCATCGAGCAAACCATCAAAAGAAGAACTGGCTTGTGATATTGAAGACCATCAAGCAGCTGTACAGGTGTTAGAATAGATCAAAGAAAAATATAAAAAGACAACAAGCGCTTCCTAAAAAATCCTGTTGACATTAGCACCAAAAACGTGGGGGCGAAAGAAATTAGCATGCGAATTCAATGCATCGGAACGTCAAGCTAGAAAAGCCATACAGTTGGTGAAAGAAAATGTATTGATAGAATAGAGTATCAAATTTGGCAGCAAACTGACCGTAGTAATTTGCGCACTGAGATTGCCAATTCAGAAGACTTCGTTGATGAATTGTGCAATCGTATTTCGAAATTCTTTTATTGCACAGGAACAATCTGCATTTTTAAAACGAATAAAAAAATTTCTCATTCTCATTCTTTGTGATTTTACTGAAAACTACGGCTTTGTAGCTCAGAATGCTGCTCAAGTTTCATTGGAACAACAATCAGGCAACAATTTTCACGACTGGCATTTATTATCAAGCTGCAGATAATTTTCATTTTGAAAGCATTGCTATTGTATCTGAATCATTGAATCACGACACAGTTGCTGTGTACGAGTTTCAGAAAATAATTATAAAGCATTTAAAAAAGCATGGAAATTAAAAAAAATATTTTACTTCACTGATGGCGCGTCTCAACATTTTAAAAACAAACAAAATTTCTTAAACCTTTTATACCATAAACAGGATTTTAACATTTTTGCTGAATGGCATTTTCATGCAACGGCCCATGGAAAAGGGCCATGTGATGGAATCGGCGGAAATTTAAAACGTTTAGCAGCACGGGCGAGTTTACAAGCAGTAGCTAAAAATTGGACGCCAGAAGGTCTGTATTAGTGGGCAAAGACAGAAAACTGCGAATTTTCTCAAAAAACGTTTTGAAAGCGCAAAAACAATACCGGGTACACAAAAGTATCATTCTTTTATACCCACCTCCAAAATGACTCTCATTTTATGAGAATTTTCGGCGTCATTAGATACAACTATCTTTCCGAAAACTAAAAAATCTAAATAAGCGAGTAGATAAGTTCTATTTTAATTTTATTTGTTAATCAAGTTTATATAATATATTATGTTTGTAACAGGTGAACCATCCTATTTATTTGTTTTTTTTGTAGCAAAGGGCAGCAGTGCATAATGTAAGTTTAGTACGTACAAATTTATGTACTATACCCAGTTTTAAAATTGTTATTAATATAATATATTAATAAACAACAATGACACAACTCAAAAATCACAGTTTTTGAGAAAACTCATTTTAAATTTGTTATTACTGTTTTCCATTAACCAAGCCGGGCTCAAAAAATAAAAGCTGGGATAAAATATTTTGTTGTTTAGGCATACTCTCTAAAAACAGTAATAAGAAATTTAAAATGCGTTTTCTCAAAAACTGTGATTTTTGAGTTGTGTCACTGTTGTTTCGAATATATGGCAAGTTAATTTATGAAAAAATAATTATTTTTTTTTAGAATTTTTAAAAACAAAACTTAATTAAACAGCGAAATGTTTGCTCCATGTTGTTTGTTACTTAATTTTTTTTCTAATTTTCTCTTTGTTGGTCCTGGAAAAGATGGGAGACTAGCTAAGCTAAATCTTTTCCTTTTGGAGTGTTTATGTATATGTATTTATTTTTGTATTTATGTGTAAATATTTATTGCCCAATAAATCTATTTATTATTATTAATATTATTATCATTATAAAAAAGGGTCCAAATTTTACGTTTCTTAATTTCATTTTCTAGGGGACAAAGCCGATATATCAAATGTAACATTTTTAAAAAAAATTTGCTCGTAGAGGTTTTGCTTACTTAAAATGTATCAGCAACAGTTTGCAAAAAAAAATCCTGTTCAATAAAATATTAATGTTCAACAACAATTGATTAATTGGAGAAATTAAGCGGGCAAACATTTTATTTTAATTTTTTTTTCTTTTAAACTAACTATCTATAATTATTTACCTATTTGTAATAGTTTAAAGTTCCTTCTAATTTTTTTAAAGAATATTAAAACAATTTTTTTTTACGAAACTTAATAAAAAAATCATAATCTTCAAAATTATTTCTCGGACAGTATAAGGTCGCCTCTGGTGGCCGTTAGCAAAAAAATTGTTGCGGTAATTAACTTAGTCTTAATGTTAAAAAATTAATTCAAATGTTTGAAGCTACTGAAATATGGTGAGAATAATGTATTGTCATTTTAGTTTCAGTAGGTAGATATTTCTAGGTACATTTAAAAATAAATTATTAAACCTTGATATAAGTACTCAAAAAAACATTTTCTTAAATAATATATTAACAAAGTATGTGAAATCCAATACAATAGGGTGAGTCGGAGGAAAAGAAATAAATTTAAATGTTGTTATCCGATTTTTTATTGTTTTTGAAATACAATGTTTAAAAAAAATTCCTATTCAAGAATTTACACAATATTCTAATTATTTATTTCTTATAATATACAACATTTTAACAGGTGACAAGTGACATATGACGAAGAAAACGTCTAAAAGCCACGTTGCCAGGTTGCCGGATTCAAAGGGTGGTTTTTAGAGTTATAGAACTTTAAATTAATAAACACATACAAATTATGGTAATGGCCATTGTATTGGCTTCATTGAAGAAATAATGTTATGCCATCTGTGTTTATATATGATTTCGTTGAAATTGGCACCGTGCTTGGCTCGTGAATTGGCCAAAAACAAGATAATTCTTGATCCTTATTTTCACCATTTTTTTTTAGCAATAACACTAATTTTCGGTTAAATGTCTACGTAAACAAATACAATTAATGACTTCCTTGTTCTTAAATTAACAAGACAGCGCACACTGGGGCAGGGTCTGTCAAAACCAGTCAGAAATATATAAAATAAAACCCACTTATCCCAGTTAAGTACTTTACTTACTGACCCACCCTTTTGTCAGTATTTAAAAGGTTTTCTACTTTACGCCTGTAGGCAACCAATATTGCAAAGACTGAAATGCCTTCCATCTCGCCACCGAGCGGGGCTCGAAGTGCGTCTTGTATGGTCCAATGACTAATGCACCATACCCATCAACACTGACAGACAACCTGTTTCGACCTGTTAGGTCTCATTAGTGTCAGGCAGTCGGTGACTGGAGACACGCATCAAGCTCGGCACTGTTCACTTCACTAAAGAAATATATATATATATATATACCTATAAATGGTTTGTTTTGAATTACAAACCTATAGAGGGGAAATACGAGGGGTAAAGATTTTTCCTATAGGATTGTCGGTAGAAACATTTTTGTTCTTGTAAAGCCCAAGCATATATTATTAATACGTTGAAAAGCCCACTAGTATAAAAATATATACTGATTAATCGCTGTAAAGCCCAGCGGTGTTGCCAATTCTACCCGTAACAAATCTATTTTTAGATTCAAGGTCAAGCTTTAAATATTCGTTAATACTCTGCATTTGTGGTTTCTTAAATGTACGGGCTTGTCATAGTAGTGTTCGTGTATAGTATTTGCTGGAATACTGAAATACTATAATATAGTATAATACTAATAATTATAATTATCCCTATAGCTAAAATTTCACAATTTAAAAAAATGTACTTTAAAATTATTAAAAAGTTCTTCAAGAGAACAAAAAATCTCCGAATCTTAAGTTCATGATTGATAATTTATCCCAATAAACATGTAATAAATATAATAAAATTAGAATTACAGCTTTTATTATATAATTTAGAATAATTATATTATTAAGTATTATTACTGTAATATAAAAATAATAAATATAAAAAAAAATCTTCTTATTTATTTCTATACAAATTAGTTTATAATTGGCTTCACCAGTATTTTTTTAACTAGACATTTTTCCTTTGTTAAATCCAGTGTAAAATTATTAATTGTTTACTTATGTGGTATTTTTGACAAAATTTACTTATATTAATATTGCTAATTCGCAAAACATAACTATACATTAATGTAAATATTTTTATTGAAGATTTTATTGTTTTAAATATCTTGAAATCTAAGAAAAAATTAATATTGACGGATTTAACGTTTGCAAAATAAATTTTAAGTATAAAATAAACAACGACATACATTTTTATTAATTAATATTTCGTGGGTATTAATTGTGAAAACTTTTAACTTTTTAACTTAAAAGTAATGAATCCTAAATATTAATTATTGATATTTTATTTTATCTACTCCTCTATTGATGACCTGTGGCCTTATGGCGTTTTAGTCACGAGCTGAAGTTAGCAACAGTGGCTTTTAAGTTAGCTATATTATAAATTTAGAAAATGTGAGGTTAAATCCGGGTGACAGTTAACAGATGTCAATTTTTAACAAATAAAATTCGCTTTAAATTTTGCTTTGTGTTCGTCGTAGATAGAGTATAGTATGTAACTCGTTTATAAACTTCTTTAGACACTAGTTTTTACTAAACACTCGCTCGCAAGCTTCGCTCTTGCTTAATTAAACTCGTAACTAAAATATCGTTTATAAACTTGATACATAACATACTATATATAGTTATTATTATAAAATAAAATATTAATAATTAATATTTAACGTGTCATTATTAAGTTAATAATTTATTACTTTTTTAATTTAGAATCCATTTCAATAATAGTTTTAAGTTATTTTAAAATCAGAATATATTAATAATTTGTATTTAATTAATATATTAAAAGTGTGGAAGAAAATTCCCAATATTATTTTTCTATGTAGTCGGCTACAGGTTCGGATTTAGGAATTTGGCGCGTCTTAAATATAGGAATAAGACATGAGACAATCTGACTCTATAGCTAACAAAGAAAGTGCGTTTAATCTTTCTTCAAATTTTTATCTCAAGTAGTTTATCACTTTATCTTCATCTTATTCTTAAACATTCTATATCTTGAAATTTTTTAATTGAAGACACTTGTCACGAAGTGTTGTTTATTTAAACAATGCATGCAAAAATTCTCGGTTATTTTTTATCAAGAACTTTGTATGCTAGGGGAGAAGTGCCATGAAAGGGACATTTTACACACTTGATGCCACAGGTAACTAAATAACCCTTATATAACCACC